TATCATTTATTTACTTATTTCGGACTTAACAGTAACTTTGTAATTTTCAATTAAATTTAATATATAATATTATTTGTTTTTTATCGCCCTTCGGCTGTAGACTTTTTATCTTACATATATAGAAAACGTCCAGACAAATACAAACAATCATATTCATGAATACAATGGTGTGCATCAAGAGAAGAATCGAACCTACGAGCATTAGATGTAATGCGGTGTAACCGCTAACCGTCTTAGATAAACTAAAAAGAAGCAAATTTTCCGTTGAATGAAACTAAACTAGTAAGTGAAATTTATTTTTCAATTCATTGTTATCTTTTCACAAGTCATTATTGTAGACAAGTAATGCAATTGTAAAAATGCCAAGTCAGGTCGACCTCCACGAAGACTACCCTGGAAATCGTGGTATTTAATTCCTGGTAAATTCTCCACGACCTGACTTCATGCTCATTCAGTCAGTCTAAACTGGTATCATACCAACATGTACGGACGGATAAACTACTTCATATACATTCATATGTATAATGTCTCTCTATTTGGCTTGAACCTAATATCTACTAAAGCCGTCGTCGAAAAAATCTATTCAACACTGAACCAACGAACACCCATCTGGCACGAATTAAAAACGTCGCAGACAGATAGACAAAAACGCGTGCAGTTCAAGCCACGAACGATTTGGACCGATGCCAATATCGTGTACAACGGCACTGAACCCACTACCCGGTTTTTAATCACCACTCTGTCACCGACGAGCGGTGGTGAGTGTTTGAAATTCTTGAATTTTTGTTAGCACTGCTTTTACAGAATTTTTGTTCGGATAGGCAGTTATATTGGCTTTTTAACCGACCTATAAAAGAGAAATGCCCAAATTACACTACTTAATACTTAAACCTTTACCAATTAAAAACTGATTTTTATGATTCTTTTTAATCGAAAGGTAAGAGTACATTTTTATTCATATTTGTTACATGAAAAATAGACTGTAGATTCTAACTATATATATAGTTTTATAGAAATGATGAAAATGTTTCACAAAGGTGGTAATGGGATTCGGTTTTATTGCTGTAGTCGATACAGCACAACTAATTAAGTAATAGGTCAGTTTGTTTACCATTTCAGTTAAGAATAGTATAAAAAGTTATAAAAAGAAAAGAAACACACAGAACAATGCATACAATGATATTAATGAATCAGATGAATTGAACCTGCGACCATCTGAAATATGTAAAAGGATTTTTTTGTAACTGTAGCAGTGTTTTAAGTTTTATTTTGTTTTTATTGTGTGTCTTTTATTGTATAAGTTCATTGTAATTGTGAGTGTCATGTATTTGAGCATCTATCGAATATTTCATTTTATTTTGTATGAAAATCCTGTTTCTCCTTTTATGATATTTGTATACATGTAGTTTACAATTTCATCTAAAACATTGGACTATATTTCATTACTGTACATGAGCAAACTACTACATTATTTATAGCTGTCTAACCTGTGATCTAATTGAATTAAAATTGCCCATTTCGAAGTCAATACCTCAGCAGCGATCGGTCAGCGATGATGAATAATTCAAAGCACGAATAAATATACTCGTATCTCAACTCAGGATGGCACTGGCCGATTGGAAAAACGTAGGAAATGGACCGTTTCATGGGAAATTTCGTGTAAACCTTTGACATTATTGCGTTTCAAATGAACTACTACGTTTGGTAATTATACTTTTATTAGGATTGCATCTAACATGTACCGCTTTACTTCCGATGGTCGCGGGTTCGATTCCTCGCGCGGCACTAACATTTGTATTCATGACTATGCCTACACTTGTAATATTTCTGTCAACTTAAGACCCTTTCATTCGTACCTCTCCAGATAACATAGATATAAGTATACTGTAATGAGTTCACGTTTCCACTGCATGCCGAATGTACCTACGCGTTTCTAATAAGCCATGTAGCACACTACCAAATAAACTTACTAATGTACAAAAAATTGTATAATTATTTCACTTGTATACTCACTACCTAAATACTACAATAAACGATCAATTACGAAGCGACACTTCATCACATCATATATATCGCTACAGTGGTGATGTGATAACCACCGCGCTACATTATTTGTATCGGTCTGGGTGTTTTCTATGTATATTATGTCTGCATTTAAAAAAAAAGCTAAATATTAGTATCAGTTTTCTAGTACAACATAAGCTTTGCTAAGTTTAGAACTAGATGACGCTGTGTGAATTGTCCAGGGAGATTAATAATATTTATGATTCTATAAATACGTTGTTCTTGCATATAAGTTTCTCTTGATTTTATAGCGGTTCAACAGATTGGATTAATTTTAGAAATTATCAAGTATCTATATGTTTTATATTGTATTATTTTATAGAGATATTTAAAAATTTTAGTATGTTTTATAAGTAAATAATAAAACAGTTACATTCATTAATACAAACTACATATATTGTATATATTAAAAATAAAACAGGAAATATTATTACGTTACTTTATTGAAATAACCAAAGTTACATTAAAAACATGACATTCAACATTAAACAGCTACTAACGTTTAACTAGTGTAGTACTTATATACCAAACTAAACGAATTTATTAATAAACAGCAAATATATAAGACTAACACAGCCATTATCATGAGAAGTCTTAATCACTAATAATCATTTATACGTATAATTAGGAAAAATAACAGGATCTCATCACGTTCTATTTATTGTTATTGAGTTGTCGATATATCGGCAACTGCCATGATCACGGATAAACTGAAGAGCAGCGAGTAGACGGCAAATAAAATCTTTTATGGGCAGACGTATTCGTCCACCTTCACACGTCTTCGTTTGTTGCTACTATTGAAAATTGAACTAAATATCGGGGACTCAAAATAAATACGTGATAAGATTCCATAATTTTTCCTATTTATACGTTAATAATAATAATTTTGTTTTTAAATAAGTAGATTATTTTTGTATCTAGGCGCATATCATAGGCGCTATGTCGATAGATAGTCAGAATGAAAACGATGTCGTATACACAATATCTATGTATCGTTTCAATATTTGATATTGGATGGAATGGAATTGTTAGTAATGTGAACTAAGAACTCCTTCGCTATTAATAGACCAAGTTAAGTTGACTTCCATGCCGTTCCCCCTTGAATACCATCGTGATAAAAATTCTTTCCATCTGCTTGGATTTTCTTATAATATTTGTATTGTCAGTCTATGTTTTTTTTCTTAATTTCAATTTGAGTCTGTACTTACATATAATTTGACTGTCATATATTTTTTGTATATGTTTTTGATATATCTCATTTATATTGTGCACCGCCAATAATCCTTCTCTGATTCATGGTGATATAATTTGTATACTATATTATCGTCAAAAATATATGCTTTTTTATATCATTCTAAAAAATATTATCTAGATATCGCTTACGATATATCTCATTTATATTTGTGGTATAATAATATATGTTGACCGATATCACTGATTCATAGATATTGGAATGCATAGATTCTGTATCGGCTACTGAAAACCAATACAATTCAATATCGACTAAGATCGATAATACCGATACATACATACCTAGTGTACTAATAATCCTTCACCTGTTTTATGTTAATCGTACCCTATTCAGAAGTAGCAAGTGGCTACAAACACCATGAATATATACGTTTTTCTATTGACAATATATTATTGCATAATATTTTTTCGATATTTGTCTTAATTATACATATTATACCAAATATATATTACACAAAATATATATTATGCCAAATCAGTCGTTTAGAAACGACTGATTTGGTATAATAAAATTTATTAATGAATATAATAAACTTACAAATAATACAATACTGAATACATTAATCATAAACATCACTAATATTATTAAACGACTTTTCAAACAATTTCTTTCCAATCGTTTTCCAGAGCACGTATTCAACTATCATTCGAGAGATTTTGATATTGTTTTGATATAATAATAATAATAATTTAAGAAAAACTTAAAAGCTAATATTGTAACTGAAAGGCCTCCACTCGGCTGGTGCCGCAGCCTGTAAAGGAGCGCTGATTTTCATTGGAGCCACTACTAGAATTCGTGATTTTTTTTATCTTAAAAATTTAATATAGGTGTAAGTTAAATAGATGAATTAGAAGTATATGTAATCAATGGAAGAATATATCAACGATTTATTTAATAAATCTATAAATATCATGAAGAATAATATACATAAATTTTATAGACACTGAGAAGAAATCACTAGATGAAATCTCAGGATATTACGTCTGAGAATCGCTCTGATTTCTAGTTTTATATTTACTTTATTATCCATAAAGCAGGTTGTCTAAACTAAAATATTTAATGACCATTTCCAGAAAATGGATACTTAAAATTTCAAGACATATTTGTATATGCTTAGTATGTAATAGTGGGGTATATATGAGTATATTATCCATTTAAGGAAGTTCAATAGGATACTTGATCCTGCTTTTTCCCTTCAATATACTGTGATTATTACACTAAATATTATACTTTCACTATATAATTAGTCATAATATTAAATTCACAGCCAATTTTTGGCTCTTATATGGTTATTCTAATATTTGTATATAATAATTGCCTATATCTAGCCACGAACATACATTGAGTCAAACTAATGAGTATATTTAGAACCTCGATATACTCACAGAGATTTCAGTATAATACCAATATCTGTATTCCATAAATACGATAAATGATGATTTTTATTGTTAATATTTTGTTACAATCCTTCTAATCCTTATTAATATTTTAAATGTAAGATAACAGAACAGAAGATAACAGAAGAACATATATAATGAAAGTAACTTTGTCTGTCTGTCTGTCTCGCTTGCTTTCACTCATAAACTACTGAACCGATTGAAATGAAATTTAGTACAGATAGCCTAGATCCTGAGAAAGGACATAAGCTACTTTTTAATGCAAAATTAGGTTGTAAAGGGTTTAAAAAAGAAGGATACTGCCAGACCTTTCATATCGTTTATATGGAAAGGATTTATTACATGGGATTATCGTCATTTTTACCCTTAAGGGAATAAAATAAAATAAAAGGTAAATTGTATGGAAATTCGTCATTCGTCTTTTATTCCACGCGGACAATGTCGCGGGCACATCTAGTTATGAATACCATTGGAAGGGAAATGGACACAACAATTCAGACAAAAGCTGAAATAGATTTATTACAAGTATGACGTTTTTATGAATAAGTGAGTGTGAATATAACACACATCAATCAATAACACGCATGAGAAAACTGCAACACGGACCAACGCGCGCTCTCAATGTGAACTCGATTCAATAATTTTTATAAATCAAACCTTTATAAAAGTTACACACAAAAATTCGAAATACGAATATCCCTTCACAATATTTAAATATTATTTGCTTTGTTGTGGTATACAGTCTATATTTTTGTACGGTTGGTAACTAATTGGTTTATAGGTTACATTAATTACTAGTGGTAAAATTTGTGCTACAGATATCTTAATATTAACAAATGTATCGAAATTATAATATATACTTACCAGTGTTACCCAACACTTGAAAGCGCTCCTATAAACGTGTTGGCGATATATCCTTAGCCTATTAATTATTTCAAATTTCGAATATATTAATACCAGCGCTCAATATGAATTCGAAATTTGAAAATTTTATGAGCACGTTCAATAACGAAGATTTTGAAAACATTTATTTCTATTACAATCAGTCATATATTGTAACGTAAATAAATGATTCAAAAATGCATAAGATTTCATCACATGATCCTATAATTTGTATGAAAAGTTATATTTCCTTTCCTTTATGTATGAAATTTTGGACTATGCCGTTGTAAGTGTCCGCTGCTTGATCGTGATCAACTATTCCATATACCTACTAAAGTTTATTTACTTATATGCATAGTGCTGTTATGTAGTTAATGCATTATAAAATATTTAAGTATTTTTCATATTGTCAGCTCTATCTATTCCATACTGAGAATCCCCACTGTCAACTGGCAAGAATTGCTGTTGGGCCACAGATGAAAGGATCATATCTATGGGTTTAGTATCATCGTACAGAGATGGAGCTTCACAGAGGATAGCGAATGTGCCGACAATGGAGGCAATGGTGAAAATCCATAGGAATAATCTATCCAGAACCATAGCCACGAAGCCCCAGTCTTGATCTTCCTGTTGGATAAAAAGTTATTTTAGGAACAGAAAAAGCTTAGCTTAAATTAAAAAATAAAATAACGTAAAAAGAAGTTAATAAGCGAAGTCGTACAGGACTTCACATTTGTAGCACGCTTCCAGTTATCGATCAGATGGGATCTTATCGCACATAGAAACGTACTCAAAAATAACCAACTTTAGAAAATCCACTCTACATTTTTAACAATAAAGTTGAAATTCAAGATATATTAAATTATTGAGTTAATACAATATTGAATTAGGTGTGTGTTCTAGTCACAATGTCTATATAAAAAAAAGTGTAGAATTTAGATTCGAAATTCAAAAATTCAATTCGAGAGTTGAATTAAGTATTGTGCGTAGATTATATCAAACATAATAAAAATAAAAGGAGAATTTTTAAAAATTAGTCTTCAGTAATTGTTTTCTTTTTTATTCTGACTCAATTAAAGTTGTTCAGAGACTGGCCGCTTGGAATATGGTTGTTTTGACTAAAAAATATCTATTCTATATTCAAAAGTCATACATTACCGCATTGAATTCATCTTGTCGTTGCATGTGATGTTGTATAAACATGACGTTGTGTATAGCTTTTTCCAATTCAAACGGATACTTCTTACGAGGTGCGACATCGCTCAGCGAGTCATCCAGACCTGACATCACTGAAGGCAGTCCATTGTAACCAGGGCCTAGACTTCCTAATGCACCCACTAAACCGCTGAATCTGTTTAATAATAAATATTGTTCAAAATAAAAAGTGTGGATTAAAATGAAATTATTAATTGACGGAGGTATTCCAAATATAATAGTAATATAAAATATTCTCTAGGTACATTATAATATAACCTGTGTCTTTGTGCTTCGTCAAATATGATTAGCTTTATTTAATACTAGCTATGCCCTTCGTTTCACCCTCGTGAATTTTATAGCCTGTATTACTCTGATGTGTAAGCTATATTATTGTAAAGTTTCATTAAAAAGCATTCAGTAGATTTTGCGTGAAAGCGTACCAAACATCTGTCTATCCATTCACTCTCGAACTCCGCGTTTATAATATTAGTAAGAACGTTAAATTATTCACCCAAATAAAGTCGTGAAAATGTAACAAACAAACAGACACTTTATCATTTATAATAAGTAGTGTAGAGCATGATTATTGAGTACGTCGGTAATGAAGGCAGGTGATGGTTACCATTTACCATCAACTTGTTTGCCGTTTGAGTTATAAAAAGAAATTACCTGTTTGTAGCAGTGGTAGAATGCAGTCCATTACATCCACCAGGTAGATGATGTCTTAATGAATCAGGACTTGAAGCATTGGAGTTGGTCTGGTCAGCAGCTGCCAAGGCATCTTTGAACTTGTTCTTCTTCATACTTCTACCGGCTATCTTCTGCGCTGCTAGATCCCTCAACAAATCCTTTGGTACTCTCATCAGTAACAATTTTGGGAGTTTTGTTATAAAGAACTTCCGAACCCACGGCGCCATTTTATGAGTACTCGGTTTGCGGTAATGCACGTTTAATATTATAATTGTTATGACGACTGACAGCCCTACTAACAACATTGTGAATAGTAGGTATTTGCCTAATAAAGGCAGAGCTAGGGATGTCGACGGTATAATTTCGGATATTAGTAAGAAAAACATAGTTTGAGATAGAAGAATAGATATACTAAGTGCTATCTTCTCTCCTGAATCTGCTGGCAAGTAGAATACCAGTACAGACAAATATGATATGCCTACACACGGCACTATAAGGTTGACAGTATAAAACAATGTTTTCCTACGAAGAGTTATGTTGAAGAAGATATCTGAAACAAGATATAATAAGTAGGTTTGAAATATTTTTAAATTAACTACAAAACGCTCTTTCTCCTTTATTGGGTTTACTGACTCCACGGTCTCTGTGTTCTAGCGTTTTAGCAAACCGCTAATATGTCTCATGGTCATAGGTTCTATTCCTCGTATAGTACAATAATTTGTATAGATAAGTTTAATTGTTTGTATGGGTTTGGGTTTTTTCTACGTATATTATGTATTAAAAAAGTATTTGTATGTATTTGTTGTCAGTTTTGTAGTACATCATGGGTACTACATAACTGAAACAAATACTTTTTTTGTAAATACATACATAATATGCATAAAAGTTCACCTTTACTTGAAACTAGATGGCGCTGTGTAATTTATCTAGGGTTATTATTATTTAGATGGTAAGGTAGTCAGTTATAATCTAGCTGATTCGAGATGCCTTGCATCCGATTGCATCCTATACACCACGCCAAATATTTTGTTCTCGATGTTTCCATTATCATAGAGTAATACACACAGAAAAATACATTAACACACTTTTTTTGCGCGCTGTACCAACCGATACTTATCAGACAATAATAAAATAAGAACAGTAAACTGTTTATTGCTATATTGATTATTTTAATGGAAATTCTAATTAAGTTGAAGGGTTCACTTGGAAATTGATAATTATCGCCTACAGATATAACTAAGTAAAAGCACGCACATCAAACAACCTCCTGATGGAAACAATGGTTTCACTTATATAACAGGACTATAAATATTCCAGGTCAGAATATTGAAAACATCTAAGGAAATATCACCAAAGGTCAAATGTCGGGTAATGTTATTTTAATATTATAGACACCTAAAATGGCATCTATAAGTTAGGACACCATTTTGTGTGGGAGAGAAGTTGAATAAACATTCTTTTATTTCATTCAATCATTATAGGAAAACGTGAAGCAAAAAGTTTGTATCCATTTTTAAGATAATTACACGGACGTAGGAGTAAGAAATTTAGCACACATATATCTTGTATAGAGAAGGAGTTCGTAATACTATTTTTTATTACATTAAAACAATAAAAAAAATATTACACACACTATCATATAATTGACACACACGTGTATATATACTCTTTTGTTTAATTGTTATTGTCACTTCAAAGATCTTTTTGTATTTTTTATTATGGTCCAATGTCGACTACTGAGCGAGCACTAGTTGGAATAAATGGATGTGAAGATAAAAGGTATGAGAGGATGACATCTAAGTCCTTCGAAATGGCAAAGTATGATTGGTTCCACATACATTGCGTGATGACGTGATGTCCATGGTGTTGTTTATGTATAAGTCAAGGTTACCACTTGCTACCCGATAGACCCTTAGCTTGTTTAGCGACGGTTTCCTATGGACTCCTGAGACACTAAGGGTATCGCGTGCGCGTTTCTGGCCCTTAAAAAATCCTTAAATCTGAAACCTATACTATACCCATCTTGTAAAACCCCATGCTGTAGTCTAGTTACAAAATCTTCGCAGATACTTCATTCTACAATCTACCTGAGGAAGATCCTCTGAAACCGCATTTTTTTTTTCGGACTACTCTAATGCTGTTGGCCGCAGCTGGCCTTTACAGCTTCACCAGACGTTAGGGGGCGAGTGCAGATAGCACTCCAAACCCGAAGGACTTATGGAGCGGCTGAAGGCCAGCTCCTGCCTGACGGATCCGACTTTAGTCTTAGGGCACCACTAGGGGTTTGAACCTCGGCTCAGGCCGTCGTAATTTCGATCGCCGTTTGAATTGGTTGGGGGATCGATCGAGGGGAGAAACCGCATGTAAAAGATAATAGGTATGTTTATATTATATATTTATATTATACAAGTATTTACAAATGAGATATAATACAACTAAGTGATTGTTGACAAGGTTATTTCTTTCTGCATCGTAGACGACGGTTTTGCCGCACAATGTTAGTAATTTCGCCACAAGAGGAACTAAATCGATCTTTCAAAATAACTATACAACTCAATAACCTAGTAACCGGTTTTATATTTAACCTTCACTAAACCGTAATACATTTTAATCAAGATTAAACACGTGTCTTTACGTGGACAAATGTACACGTATAATGTTAGGAATGTTAGAAGCTATTTGCTAGCACGTGTTACGGTGCGTAATTGTCCTTTGGCCTATTGTCGCATTGTCGTTTAAGTGAGGTTTGGTCACTAAGGTACTGTAGACAAATTACTACCTACGGGCATTCATGGGAATGTAATGGGGACATTATTGTTTTCTTTTGTGGTTGATTGTACTTATCGATAATAATCACATTTTTAAATTGGGAAATAACAAATTTTCAATTCGGGTGTACATTTTTAATAAATGCCTTTTCATTATAGAATATAGATAATGGTTTATTATCGAAATAATTATTTAAAAGTATTAAAAATAAACGACATGTTTAATTATGATATTACAAATGAAAGATATAACGGTATTTATAAAGAATCGAATAACAAAATAAAAAAGAACAATTAATATTCGTAAATAATTTCTCCATTCGCATAGCATTCCTTTCGTATTCCACGTCACAATTATTCGGTCGTATGAATATAATACAATTGAATTTCGAATTTCGACATTTTAAACTTTTTAACATTTTTAAGCAAATAAAATATCAAACACTGCATACGTAGCCTAAAATATTTCATTAATAACTATTCCTATTTTCGAAATTCGAATTATAAATTTACCAACCAGCATTATTTAATCCTTCCACATGGCTATTATTTAATCTTTGCTACCACGCCACACCATATTCCTGCTCTATAATACTTATTTAATATAAGAATTAGTATTTCTTAACTATTGTTGAACATTAAAGAATGGTATCTACGGAGGGTATCAAAAGCCTCGCTGCGTCAAAACCAAAGGATTCCACTTTGATCCTTTTATCCTGGCGTTGTCATGTATAAAACTTGTCGTTCCGAGAATACAGTGGGCTTAATATTCGTGTTTGGTTATTGTGAACGACTTTTACACCATATTTCATGGAATGTTTTTAGTGTATAAAAGGATTTTATAGAAATTCACATAATTTTTATAATAAAGTATATTATTTAATCTACATATGTATGATCTGTTACCTGTGTACAATAAGTTAGGATGTTCAATATGGTATAATTAAAAAAAAAAACATTATTTTTCTATTTTAATGCAAAAATAAAATATCCTATATATATATATATATTATAAACAATTGAAGTGAATGTAGTATAAGTATATGAATATAGTATAAGCAATTGAAGGTTTTATTCTGTGGAAAAATTAAACTGTCCCGGTACTTCCATAAAATACACAATCAGCAAATATGAAACTGAAGATATTTTATCAACCTATAATATTTTATCAGGAAATCGACTATAAAAAATAAATAATAGCCAAAAAATAAACAAAAAATAAAACAGAGTTGACACCCTTTTTATTTCAAGTCGGTTATCGAAGGCTTTTAACCGCGTACTAATACAATTTACGGCAAATTTCGGTCCACCTGACGGGCGTTAATTTTTCGTGTCGCCATAAACGTTGGCACTATATAAGATAAATTACGTGCAAGTACGTCCCTTCCCGCAGTTACCGCTGATTCAACGGAGATTTAGTACTGAAAATTACTGTACTTGTTTTGCCCTATGTTTTACTCGGATACAAACTGGATTACTTTTTAGGCCTTTAAAATAAAATTTATAATTGTTCTTGATATTTTCTGTTAAATATTTCTGATTAAGGGATAGGGCATTGTTAGTAGTGGGGATAATATTAGCAATACAGTCTATCAGCAATACAACTATATGAGGTTTACCAATCGTTATAAATTCTAGGTAAATTCACCACGACAGCAACAGTTGCGTATCTCATTCCATTAATATCGATAAAAAAAATCCTTGACACACTTTTTAGGCCCTTTTAGAGTACTTTATTCACCGTTTAGCGTATATTAATGTATATATAAACAAACTAAAAATCAAACAATGTTATGTATACGACATATTTTGCTCCCTGTATTATTTCTACATTAAAAAATCTCATTATACTGTATGTATCCTAATTTTCAACAAATATAAAAAAATATTAAGTCTAGTATTGTGATCGCGCCATATAAACAAATTACCTATACTGTATCTACTCATAGCAAACCAACAAAAATACAAAACTGTCAAAAATATATAAAAACATAAATACGTGAATATAATACTATGGCCGTTCTCTTAAAAAAATCCATAATATCCCATATTTCACTAGTAGGATAGTGCATTGGCTTTTACGTAAGGTTTACGAGGTCACCTACAAATGTTTGTACTGAATTAATAATGAACCCCAGTTGCTTTATCTCAAGAAGCATGTCTGCCATAATAGGTGCTTTGTACTGGGTTAGTCGTAAAGCATACAGCTAGCCGAATATCAGGTAGAAATGAAAGAAGCACTTTTATTAAGAAACAGTGACAATATAAATGAATTTTTCATATAAAATTTATCATGTGACCGCGCAGGTCGAATAAAGATTTCAAAAATATTTTAAAGTATACACATTGTCATTTTGGGAAACTTATTCAGTTTCAAAATTACCTACCGTCATTAAATTTAGGCTTAGTACACACTTTTATGAGGAACTACGTATATATGTTCACCGACTGAGACTTATAGTGATCATTGTCTTGGATATTTGAAAACATTTAAACAAAGTGTGTGTATGTTTATAATTTTACTATCATAATTCATCTTTCAAACCAGATATAGACGATAAACATTCAAAGCAATATGCTAGGCGGTAGATATACTTACATCTAAGAGACAGAGGTACGCAGATTTCTATTAAGTTTGTTTATAGCTAATGTAATAAAGATGCTTCGATTAATCAAGTCCATATACATACTTTGTACCACAGATAACATAATATGCTTTGTACCAAGTCACGAAAGGTGTCTGAGTACCTTTGTTATACATGTTTAGGTGGTTCACTCAACTAGTAAGTGACATGTAGTAATCACAGGATACGGAATTATAATATCTTAGCCCTCCGGAATATTATGATAGCTTGATATACATGATCACACTCAGGGTCCTGAACTTGCTATTCCAGTAAACAGATAAATTACAAATTTATATTATCTCGTACAATAATAATATATTTTATTGCACTTTGCACATTAATAAATAAAGATAGTTATACAAAAATGTGAGCAAGGGTGGGCTTATCTCTGAAAGAGATTTCTTCCAGCCAACCTAATGTTGTGATAAACGTGATAGTTAGCAGGCAGCGATAGTGCTCGAGTTTTAGCAATAATAAATAAATTATATTCAAATAAATACTTACATTAATACTTATATATGCATATACATAATTTTATTTACTCAAAAATTAATACTGTAGTATATTTATTTCATAAGTCTGTCAGATATAAGAACCCTTTAACCTTTGATAGGACGTTCGCTGTCGGGTTGTACTCGAGAACAAATTAATTAAATGACTCCGGGTGTATACTCAAATATCTGGGGTAATATAAAATATGATACGGATCTCTCACGTGTAATGGTTTGTGATTAAGTATCATTTGTTTGAAAACGTAATTTTGGGTTTTCGTATATTTTATGGGTTCTACCTTTTGCATGAAGTTAACGAAACTTTTGATGTGTATGATACGCATTCAAATTTGGTATTTAAAATGATTCAAAATGAAGGTTATTAATATCGTGTTCAGATAAATGTAAAAAACAAAAATTTTACAAAGTATATGTATAAAACTCAAAAGTACTCGTCAGATCTTGAGCAAATTATATATATGGACCACAGGAGAGGAACTAGTTTTAAAAAATATATTAAAATTGGTTTACTAATAAAAAAGTTCGAAGGTTTTAGGTACAGAACCTTAGAACTTAAATTAGAAAATACCCCGACACATATAAACAATAATACTCTTGAATACAAATGTTTATGCCGTGCGAGGAATCAACCTGCGTCTATCTTAAATTTCAAAATAAATAAGATAGGATAGATAACATATAATATACTAAATATTTTTACAAGGCACTACATTCTTATTACAGTTTCCAAAATATCTATCATAATTCTAATGTGTTCATTTCGTTTAGATAAACACGTTTCGCTTTGGTAATGACGCCTCTCATTCCAGCTGAACGGCTCCCACGAGATTATGCAACTTTTTCGTTGACAGTGCCCGAGTATTATGGTTATTACATCTGACGGATCTGGCCTATTATTATTTTTTATATGTTACACTTATCTTTTTTTGCTTTTGGGAAGCGAATTAGGCCGGGTATCGTTTGAGATGGAAATATTTTTTTTCATAACTGGAATCGTAAATACACTGATGGCTTAGCTGATGGTTGCGGTAACTATAGACTATAAATATGTTCATATTTCACTCCACAGATAACACATGCCTCTAATGGGTGGCATTCCAGATAACTAAGATATTAGGCCTCTATACTCTGTAATTTTACTATTATACCTTCAAGCGAACCTACTTAGTGGCTGAAATAGATTAGACTAAGGTGAAACAGACTTACGCTGACGATTATGTACACCATCTTCATATTGGTAAAATTAAAGCCAAAAGTTTATGATAATAAACTGCATAGTTTGTATCCGGAAGTCCACGATCCTTCTGATTCATTCATGATTCTACCCTATTTCTAATTCCTATCTCTTTCTCCTACTGTCTCTGATCTCTTAAAAGAAGATTAAATTATCTTAGTGTTGCAAATGGGATCAGCGGCTAAAATCAATTACCATCAGTTGAGTTGCGAGCTCGTTAGCCCCAATTTTATAAATTTTATTGTTACAAATGAGAGGATTAATATATTTGTCTAAAAGTGTATGGTTTCGGCACTTTTTCGATGTTAAACTATGTGTTTCCAATTACTAATCTTTATATTCTCATAATACATATATACTACCCTGTAACTTTAGTAAAAAGGTATACAAAGTTTTTGCTTCACCTATTAATGTTATGGTTAAATAGATATTTTTTTTTATATAGTACAAGTTTCACAAACCCCAAAGTTTTACACCGGTACACCGCTAATCTCGAGTTGTTTACGGCACGGAACCACGTCGCTTATCTATGCTAAATTACTGCGTTTTACGTCTACAAGTACAGGTTAAACGGTTGTTTTGCTAATGCTCACGAGTTACGCTAACGTCACGCCATGAATACAGATCGAGGTGATGTAGGAGTGCCGTTCAGCGATTAATCAGATACGGAGATATAAAGGAATTGCGCTATTTTGTACCATTTCTCCAGAGTACGCATTTAGGAGCCAGCGTTTTATTAGTTTCGGTGACAGTGTTTTGTTTTCTGTAATTCGAAGATCGTATACTGGCTTTGGTGAAATCTACCATCTGTGGATGTGGTTTGCTTTGCTAAGATCCCTTATTAAAGTATATTAAAAGTTTTTTAGTAACTAAGTAACTCGAAGGGTCAATAATCTGACGACCCCATCTAAATAATAATAACCCAAGACAATTTACACAACGCCATCTAGTCTCAAGCAAAGCAGAGTACCTATAGATCTTGAACAAGTAATAAATACTTAGGTACAATTTGTTTATAAAGTCATACAAAAGATTTATTTAATAAAAATAGAGACGAATATCATCGCAGACATTACTCTCATTGTCATGTGACGTCCGTAGTATTCTTAATATATTGTATGTTGTTATTCCTGAAGATTAAGATATAATGTAATGCCCTCGTACCCTCTTATTTCACTGCTGTATCACATATTTCTACTATAGTACTTAAATTTAAGTTTAATTGAATAAACAATTGTTTATTCTATTCTTCAAATATATACATAGTTCACAATTGAAGCTTCACATAAAATCTAACATTGCGTTTGCTTCTACAGAATCTATTTCAGAACCTAATTTTCTCGCTAACCTTAGTAATATCTTTAGACATGTAAGATTCTTGTGTTGCAGTGTTAGTAGCCATACTCCTAAACACCTTACCCAATTTTGTTTAAATTTTATGTGTATACTTGGTAGGTCTGAGAATATGTTGTTATATATTTATACTCCTAATTAATAAGTGTGCCCACGTGTGTGTGACACGGAATAACCAACCCCTATTTTTTAATAGCGATATTATTTGTTATGGCAAATTTTCCGAGTCAGCTAGTATAATATAGATATATACTTAAGTATAATTAATGTTCATACCTGGATAGGGCTCCTGACAACACGGATAGTACCTCTCGTGACGTTCAGCTGGTACTCCCAATATGTCCCATTCAACTGAAGGATAATACTCCCGGAGATCGATTCCAACGTCCACCATGTCTCCTTTCTTTTGATTTATGTGCTTTAGGTCGATCTACATTAAAAGAAATTGGTTAAGTACTAGATGCTAAATTCCGATATTACTTGAAACTGTGCATATAGGAGTTGTAAAAGTCACTCCAAGTATATTTTATTTTTAAATTACAAATAATAAAAATAACATCATTGGACAGTTCACATAGCGTCATTTAATCCCAATCTAAGCAGAGCTTGCCTTATAGGAACTAGATAACTGATTAGATATTTTTTTTTGTAAATATATAAATAATATAACACCCAGACCAACACAAATAATCATACCCATAAGTACCTGGTACAAGTACATGTACCATTCGAGGAATGATCGTGTCATTATAAGTAAAGCGGTGTGCTAAAACTCAAAATCACCGAGACCGTCAAAAAATATCTTGTTAAATAGCCAAATAGGGACAATAATTATTAATTAATTCGTTTCATACATTTTAATGTATTAAATTAAAATAAATACTATTATATTAATTTATTCAGCGAGTAAATATAAATCAATAAAGTATTACATAACGAAGCTTCAAAATTTATTGACGATAATCCAAATATTACTGAGCGCACGTGATTGCATTGAACGTAGCGAGCTTAACTGAGCTTATGCTATCTATGAGTGAGCTTTGCAAACTCCTGAAAATACAGAACTATGATCAATGTAACGAAGTGACGGACCAGTAGTGCAAATCGGGTTTTACTACCGGCCTGGAGCTTTGTTTTGGATATTATGCCTTTAAGCACGATTGTGTTATTGCAAATTGTCATTTATTGACTGACTTGAAGTATGAAATATTTTATATACATTTTATTTTTAAAAGGTTTTGCAGGGGCAGACCAAGGACTGGGTGGAAGGATGTAGTTGCTAGGGATATGATATAATGCAAGATCTCTATGAACGAGAGGACTATGTCCAGGAATAGGATAAAGTGGCGTAAAAAATAAGGAAACCTGACCTCACTACCATATGGCATATATAGGTAGGAAGACAGAAATTCTATTTTTAAGATATTTATTTTGTAGAAAGTCATCTGTTTAGGTACAACTAAAAAGCGTGTATACAAAAGTAAACTGCGTTTCGGTTGAAGGTTTAGAATAAGGCAATGAAATTATGGGAAATGGATAGGGTATGTATCATGTGTGTCAGTTGATATCCGTAATACTGTTCATATATATAATCATTTACTATTAGGTGAGCTGATATTTTAGTTATGTAAAAAAATCTACCTGGTTATAGTTTATAAAATGTTATTTGCGTAGCTATATTTCTGTCTGAGCTAATTCTATGCTAAGCAGCTTTATGCAGCAGTGTTTTAGTTTGAAAAGTTGCACCTATGATAATACATACGTAGGTTTGACACCTTAATCCCATATCAATGTACAATAATGACATCTCGGAATCAAAATTTATTTTATAATCTATGTTTATAGACAACAGTTACTGTTTCTAGTCAGGTTGTTTTCCATTAAAAATAGGTAATATAATCATAAGAGAAGTTTTATATTATAAAGGAAATACACTTTTTATATATATTACTAGTATATAAAGATAACTTGCCTGGTCACCATCGTAACTCCAAGATCCAAACTTTAAGAAGCAGGTCTGCTGATCAAACGGAAAGTAGCGTACATCAATCTCGCAGGAAGACTTGAAGATAGCTGGTGGGGTCCACAGAACTTTGCCGGTGTGATGGAGTACAGCTTTTGTCATGGTTGTCACCACATATTCACCATCAGCACTATTAAATAATTAAAATCACGTTAATAACATTGTACTAATGAACATTTGCTTGAAAATCCAAGGTGAATTCCGTCCCCCAATACTACAAGATAGGCAATCGATGAAAATTATATGAAAACTGATTATAAAATTACGATAAGAGAAAAATATACGAAATAATTAATTAAAGTACTTGATTTTTTTTTAATTCTGTGCAGGAAAGAAGTAATCTACTAAGAGGCATTGCATAACCTGCTGAGTTTAATAGGTCTCTCATACTAAGAGCGTACCATGAACCGGTTGGTACATTTTCATTGGGCGGGTTATATAGAGCAAATCCAATTATGATTTGCGCGCCAAAAAATAAAACGACGTGTGAAATTTAAAAATGTTTACTTCCAAATTTGAATTCCATTCCAAGAAAATTGTATAGACTGATGACTTAATGTATATAGAGCCGTGAATAAGCATCTATATTTATTGGTAGTAGTTTCACAGTATAAATCATAGACAATATGTTGCATATAATGTAGCTCGAGGAACGTAATACTGTCCCCAGTTAGCGGATTACACACGGTAATAACGTTAACTCTGCGATCTTACATAGTTTATGACAACCACCATAAACCTATCAGGGGGTAACTCATACGTAAAGGGACGGATATACAGCCAAGAGATGACCTTACGCAATTGAGGAGAGGAAAGCGTTAATTGAAAGAAAATACTTTGAGTGGGATTAGCTTTATCTTATTATTATTCTGTAGAATTAAGACAATATTTATTCAATACTATTGAAGGCTAGACAAATTATCGGCTACTAGTAATTAATGCCAGTACATTGTCTTTAAGAAGACCATAGAGATCATAGAAATATGGTATAGCGTCTATGGCAATCTTGATAGGCTTAGAGTTTCTGTAGCAGTGCAGTCATTTACATATATTGGGTACCTACGATGTAATGTACCTATAATATTATGTTATGCGTAATCACTGTAGTGTGGGTGAGCCTTTGAGTTCATTTAGTATTATATAACCAATTTAAAATATCGTCATTTATAAATATTTATATACTTGTGGTGACAGCGACTTTTTCGACTTGAAAATTTAAATAATTAATATTCATATAATTTATTATTCCTCCCTTTTCTGCTTTTAGAGCTTACATCTTTAGCCTACATGGTGGCCCTTATTTAAGAAAAAATTCTGTGTAAAATTGATTCTAATTCTTCCGGTGTTTATAAGCGTAACCTTATAATAAAATCTATTTATTTGTTTGTATGTTAACAAACAAATAAATAGATTTTATTATATGTATAGATATATACTATAGGTATTGCCTTAATAATACTGACTGAAAAAAGTCGTCTGCGGGGAAACTTCAGTGTCACCTATTTCTGCCGCCAAGATTTCTACGTAAGCTGTGTTTTAATTGTAGGATGAGATTAGGCAATAAAATTACAGGACAAAGGATACAGCCGTCCAGCAACTTGCTTTGTAAGCTGTGTTTCAGATGTTAGGGTTGCAGATTAGACCGTGAAATTCGCGACAAAAGACATGGCAACTTAGTTCTCTGAAATGGCAACAAATTGGTTTCACATGATAACGTGATATCCGTAATGCTATTATGTATACGTCTAAGGTTACCGCTAATCGTCGATTATAAATTTGATTGCAAATCCAATGTAACAAAAAAAAATCTTATATAATTTACTAGCTGTACTTAAAAAAGTATAATATGCTTTTTTCAATGATAACATGATATCCGTAGTGCTGTTCATATATACTACTTAGCGTTATGTCGACCATCATTTAATCAAATGATCCATGAGTCAATATAATTAATAAAAAAAATCTTATATAATTTACTTAGCTGTAGTTAAAAAATATATGTGTGCTATTTTCCATGATAACATGATATCCGTAGTGCTGTTCATGTATACTACTCAGCTTTATGTCGACCACCATTTGATTGTCAATATAATTAAAAAAAAAATCTTATATAATTTACTTAGCTGGAGTAAAATAATATATGTATGCTATTTTCTATGATAACATGATATCCGTAGTGCTGTTCATGTATACTACTCAGCTTTATGCCGACCATCATTTGATTGTCAATATAATTAATAAAAAAAATCTTATATAATTTACTTAGCTGTAGTTAAAAAATATATGTGTGCTATTTTCCATGATAACATGATATCCGTAGTGCTGTTCATGTATACTAGTTAGCGTTATGTCGACCATCATTAGATTGTTAATCCAATTAATTAAAACAATATTAGATAATTTAAGAGCTACAGCTAGCTCAAAAAAAATATGGTTACTTTTTCTATTAGTAACGTAACCTTTAAGAAGTAAACTCCGCGTTGACTTCTACACTTAGACAGCGTAGGGTCGACATAGTGTAAGATTAGTCACACGTGCGTCGCTCACTCATTCGCTGGGGATGATTAATCGTCCCCCGGGCTGTTTTGACACGACATGATGTATCATTCCGGTACGCTTTCTTGTCGATATTCGACGCAATCAATTAACTTCAATACGCCTATGTATATTGCGTGCGTCAGCTAAGGTCAAGTGCAGTTTATCAAATCGTTCTTTATTAGTTAATAGTTTCAATTTATCGTCCGTTCACTTGTCCAATATATCAAACTTCACTATTTAATATTTTTGGGAGCAATTTTATGTAGTGAGATTGTCGACGACATACGAACCAAGGTTAAACTAACATTGAGGGTGACGCAGCTAGAGTCGAGTCACAATCTTAGTTTCAAGGCGTTTGTGGCTTGGGTCCCCAAAAACATGCAGCTGTCCACCTTCCTGAATGAGGACTAGTAGCAGAAGGAGATGGTGTATCGATGCTACCGTGGCAGATGTTGTAACCACAGATTGTAGACACGATTTATATTATTACATAATTATGTATGCTAGTATATAAAGTATTAATAATATGATCCATTAGTAGCCTCAAATAAATAAAATATATTTATGTTAGCACTTGTGGCCCGCTCCGAATTCATCCGGACAACGGCGGATATAACTCACGAATTAATACGATATTGAAACCTTAAAAAAAAAGAACTTATTCTTTATTAAAAGGCCGGCAACGGACTTGCAATTCCCTGGTGTTGGTGCTTATGGGCAGCGATAATCACTTACCATCAGGTAAGCCGTAAGCTCGTTTGTCCCCTATACTATAAGAAAAGGAATAACGTAAAAGTACCTTGGAATATCGAAATAAATTTCGCAAATCAATGCAGTGATTTCGTAGTTAATTTTCCATATTTAGATTAGCATTTGATTAAGACCGTTGTACATGTAAGATATTTATTATATAGTTATTATGCATCCCTAATGGTTTCCAAAAATAATAGAATCAAATTGAATTTATGACAGAGATATTAAAGGAGACTACAATACTGCTTGAAAATAATGTAAATCTTTATTTGTTTGTATACATAGAAAAAATAAAATCAGGAATACTAAGTACATATCTTTTTAGCCTATTTTTATTAATAGCTTATGTTTGTTTGTTTTAAAACTTATATTTTTCCTGAACATTTATTTATGTATATGCAGATTTATATAGTAATCATAGACTAAGTATACTGTTAGTATAAAATGATCCACAATAGTTATTCGAGTAAAATAACGGAAGTAAATTAACTAGAAACGGAATTGATTCATTCCAACATCAGATATCGAGTTATGCAGTATACAAATTAATTCGGGCAAAGCGCCCAGAAACTTTGAGAGCAAGGCACATTAGGTTGCACCAAATTGCATTGTTGCATGCCCAACTTGTCTGGGAGATGTGGTAATTGGACAATGTTTAGTGCCAGTTGCTCGACAGATATTTTAAGCGAAATCGACAAGATAGACAACGTCTCATAAGAGAGACAGAGACAAACTACAAGTATCAAGTGATTTATAGTATAAACTTTTTGTATTATATATATAATATAAATATGATATTTACCGTTGACTTTTTTAGTGGATAACGATGGAATAATGCTTTTGGTTATTTGATACATCTCGGAAATTTCAGGACAAGTTGACCATGAGGATGTTTAGAAGATCATGTGGGGGTAGACCTAATACAGAATATTACTAGCAATCGGACCACTATGCCCTATTACTAATAGACCCCCCGTGATAACAATATTAATAATAACCCAGGTCAATTCATACAGCAACACCTAGTTCTAACCTAAGCAGAGCATAAATTATACTAATGATATAAATACATAGCTGCTTTTTATGTAAATATATCTATAATATAGAAAACACCCAAACCGACATATTCATGAATACACATATTTATACCGTGCGAGGAGTTATACCCGCGATCAAAGGATGTAAGGCGAAGTGCTAAACCTCTAGATCACTGAGGCCACAGTGATGTTAGTTGAGCACCTTAATACCATCATTACTGACAGGTAACCTCATTTCTTAACACCTTATGTGAGTTATTTAGACTAGATCACCGAGGCCACAATGATAATGTTAGTTGAGCACCTTGATACCATCATTACTGACAGATTACCTCATTTTTAACACCATATGTGAATTATTTAGACTTCTACAGTCTAGTCTAAACTTTAATGAACTTACTTGTTGTAAAGGACGATATCCGGCAACCAAATATGTTCAGAAGGGACATATAATTCCTTAACTCCGCCATACTCCAATGGGTCCCACTTAAATTTGTGATCCTCCCATTCCTATAAAAAAAGAAGCATAATTAATGCATGACTCACAACATATGTAGTCTTATTATAAAAATTCTCGTGTCACATTGTTAGTTACCATACTCCTCCGAAACGGCTTGATCTTTATATGCATATTCGATAGGTCTGAAAATCAAATCTATTTTTCATATCCCCAGGGTGATAAGGGTAGTCCACCCCCAATATTTATTTCTTATTTTTTTATAACGTGGCATACAACCCTAAATTTTAACCCTTTTATCACCAACCCCTAAAATTGACATGAAGGCAGATTTATCATGAGGACGGCTATAGGTTATATTTGATTTAAAAAAGCAGACGATTTGGGCATAACAGTTAAATAATAAAATTGTAGGAAGGGAAAGGAGAGGTGACAATTTAATCTTGAGGTATGGTAATGCATGAGGTAGGGGCACTATATCTATGGTGCCGCTTCCATTGCATGAAGACATGGTGTTATTCATGTATATAAATAATCGATGGCCATTTTACCTCTGGTGGGTTGGTAATAAAAATAATAACAAAAATATTAAATATCAAAATTGTTCATTACATATTAATATATGTAATGAACAATTTTGATATAAACTGAAAACTATATTGATAATGACTTCCACTGGGTTACAATATCAGTAATGCTTGCACAAATAATACTTTCTAATATTAGTCAGATACATAGGTCAGGATTAATAACAAAGAGAAAATGACTAAAAACAATTAGAAATAATTGAATTTAAAATAAATGAATATTAAAACTATTTTAAACATTTCATTCGTGTGTTTACAATAAATTAATAAACTTCTCCAAAATCAACTTTTTCAATATTTTTTGTTTATTTATTTTGGGATTTATATATTTAAAAATCTGGATTTTAAAATAAAATGTTAAATCAGAGAAAGCTATTAAGACGTAAACATGTCATCTGTTAAAAAAATTTATATGCTACATAGCATATAAATTTTTTATATAGACATATATGTATAAAAGAGAAAACTAAATAATAATGTCATCTTTAATCGATCCCCCGTCTAATTAAAACGGGGATTGAAATTACGACGGCCTAAGCAGAGCTTCGAACCCCTATATAGCGGAGCCCTCAGACTAAAGTCGTATGCGACAGGCAGTAGGCTTTCAGCTGCTACATAAGTCCTTCCGCGGGTTTGGAGTGCCATCTGCACTCGCTTCGCTCCCTATCGTTCGGTGAAGCTGTAAAGGCCAGCTGCGATGAACAACATTAGAAAAATGGGAAAAAAAAAACTTTTAATATTAATAAATTGAAATAAATATACTTACATGTTCCAACCATACGTTAGTTGTTAAGATCTGATCCTTTAAATTCTGAAACAAAATCAAACAATTATTATAAGATCCACAGAAAATGCTATTTCAAAAATTTTCAACGTTTCTAATATAAGATAAATGTATATAGACAAATCTTACTGCGCAGTCTAGTCCCAAATTAAGCAAGACTTGTACTTGTTTATGTGCTGTATATAGTAGACTAGCGACCCGCCCCGGCTGCGCACGAGTGCAATGCTGATACTAAAGAGATAGACATATACAATGGCGGACTTTTTTGTTGACCTTTTTAAGGTGTACAATACTGTAGTACATTACTTTGATTTATTTTGTAGGGTTCAGCCAGCTTTTTCAATGTAAGTACTAAAAATGTGTTTATTTACGACATCATATTAGAAACCTCTAAATTAATCAGTATTTCTCTACAATATTATGCATGTATTATACATATAAACCTTCCTTTTGAATCACTCTATCTATTAAAAAAAAACCCGCTTCAAAATCCGTTGCGTAGTTTTAAAGATTTAAGCATAATTAGGGATGGACTGACAGCGACAGCGACTTTGTTTAATACTATGTAGTAACCAAAGAAATTAATAAATCAAGAACTCATGTATCTATATGGTGCAAGAATCGAACTCTCGACATATCAATTTAAGATAGTACACTAACCCGCTACACAAAAGAGGTTGTTAAGGTCAGTAATAAAATATCAAAGTTAATAAGATGTTTGCTCTACTTTTTTCCAGATTTTTATGCCTTTTGAAGCTATTTATAAAGATCTAAAGAGGCTCACGGCCTAAATAAGTACTTACTCGGAATTCCTTTATATTTTAATTTTAATATTAAAGACTAAGAAGAACAAAAAAAATGTAAGTAAATATACTACGTTAAAATTTGATTAAAAAAGTAAGTATTAATAATATATTAGTTCAGTTTTGTCAGTCTGTATGTTAACTAAACTAAATAGCGATGTTAACTTAATACCTATAATCCTTACTAATATTATCAATGCGATAGTAACTCTGTCTGTCTGTCTGCCTCTCGCTTTCACGCCAAAAGTACTGAACCGATTTAAGTAAAATTTGTTACATAGTCTAGACCCTGAGAAAGGAAATATGCTACTTTTTAATGCAAAATAAAGATTTGTAAGGGGTTGAAAGAGGAGATGAAAGGTTGTTGGGAAGTATCGTCATTTTTAAAGTGAGAAACTTGAAACTTATTTTTGAGGCTGATGATTAAATATAAATAAATATCATTCAAATTTTGTAGAAATTACCCTTAAGGGCTAAAATAAAATAGGGGATGAAAGTTTGTACCGACATTCGTCATTTTTGAAGCTATAACCTTGAATTTTTTTTCTTAGAGCTTATTAAAGTATTTATACGTATCGTCTTGTAAAATAATTTAAAATGCTATTAAGGGTCACTGTTCCACGCGGACAAAGTCGCAGGCACAGCTAGTATTGATATAACTGATTGTTGTGTGTAATGTAAGAAAAAGTGTGATCTCTACAGTCATTTCAAAACCGGAGTCTATGTATATTTTATATATTTTAGTATGAATAAATATGGAAGTACGATTTATGTATCTTTGGTAAATTTATACTACAATATATAAAATATATGTAATATTATATATTGTATTAACAATTTGTACGGAAGTACGCATATATCTTTAGCAAGTAATTTTTACTATTATTAACACTAGACTAGTATTGAAAAGGCATCAGATAGTAAAATCGATCGTCGGATGTGCCACCATCTTAATATGGGCGAATCGATTGACGATTCTTGGGCGAATGCCAACAAATTCCCCTGGGTCATCAAAACGAATGTATCCATGGTGAATGGTATACGGAAGCACGTAAGAATATCGGCTTTGGCCGTTCACTCATTGGCTCATGTTTACTTCCGGATTTAGTGAGCGATTTTCACTTTATTTCTACTAAGAATTTGGACTTTTCTATATACCACTGGTAGATATTATCAACTAGTTTAAGTTCTAAAAGAAACATTTACTTGAATTTATACAACCATACTGACGAAATTATTTATTCTGCAAAGAATTTTTTATTTATTTTCTGGTGATAGAAAGTTTAAGTTATCCGAACTTACGAAATTAATCGAATTTAAAACATCTACTAGTTGAGGTTCTAAAGCAAGTATTTACTTGATTTTATTAATACAACTGTACTGACGAAATGATTTATTTTGTATATAAATCATTTCGTCAGTACAGTTGTATTAATAAAATCATAGTATTTTGTTTTCTATTCTATTCTATTCTTTTGTATATTAATTTCTCATTATATTTCCGGTAACTTACGAAATAATCTCTCTCTCCGATTACATCATCTATAGTGATGTCATTATTATATGTTTGCTTGAAGAAAGATAATTTCAATTCGGTGTTGAGTTTTGTATGTACATAAGTACACGCATATGCCAAGCATGCATATCGTTATCGTATGCTATTTTAGGCCTTAAAATAATCAATAATAATTATGCATAAATCTCCTAATAATATTTTCTTTTATACATCTTTTTTGTACAAACAGAATTCAATTACATTTAAATTATAGGTATTAATGCGATTTGACTGTTTCCTATTCGTCCTTCCTTTAACTTTTTATGGTCGTTCTTCTTCGCACGGTACAAATATTTTCATTCTTAAGTATGATTATTTATATCAATTGGGGCGTTTTCTATGTATAATATATATTTTAAAAAATTTATATCATTATTTCTATCAGTTGTCTAATACCCATAAACACAGGCTTTGGTTAGCTAGGAACTAGATTTATTATTACTCAGAGTTATTATTATTATTATTATGTATATTAGGCCCGAGGATACTTAATAATAAAATTTGGATGGTTACGAATTTAATGTCTATTCAAAAGGCTTGAGGCTTCACTCGTCCGTAATCTGTAATTTTAACCCACTTTACACTTCAATCGAAACAGCTTACAAAACAAGCAGCTCGATAGATAAATAAATCCTAGACTTCGTATAAAGTCTACTTGGGTGAATAAACATATATATATCTAAGAAAATTTCGACGCTACGAAACTGTCCTGAACTCAAAATTTTACTAGGCAGTAAAAGAGTGTAGCTAAATTAAGCGTTTCGAGGTTAAGTAGACCCGGTTAAACAAGTTAGCTGTCATCCTTCACTGTCATCAAAACTGATTCGCCTGTAAGTGGCCATTTTATGACGGCACTACACTTCCAGGTTTACAACTGCCGTTTCTTTAATACGTGTCCTGGTTACAACTATTTGGTTTGTTTTGCATTTTCTGTTTAGAGAATTTCTAAGGAGTTAGTCTATGTGGTGGCAATTTATTAATACAATTTAAACTTTATGACTATAGGTCCAAGCATCATATTTAAGTAAAAATTATATCTCAGGACAATTCAGACAGCGCCATCTAGTCCCAAGTTACCAAAGCTTGTATTATAGGTACTGAACAACTGATATAAATACATAGTTTTTTTTGCAAATAATATTGAATAGATAATAAATTTATAATATTAAAGAATTATACATAATGATTATTTGCTTACTGATATCACTCAATACTATATTTGTACTTTTACTTACTGCCTCTCATCTTGTTCGTTCTGTAGATCTCGTGTTTTTTATTGTACAAATTAATATTAATTAGTTAATATAAGAAATATAGTGTTTTAATATCCCAAACCAATAAATATATATAATCTTAATAATATTATAAAACGAAAGTTAGTACGTATTGATGTTTGATGAAACTTTACAGTAATGTAGCTCATATATCAGAATAACACATAGACTATGTTTTATATTGAAATTTAACGCGGGTGAAACCGGGCACAGCTATGAAATGCTATAAATAAAAAAAAAATCTAGTACATAGTACTAGTACATAATACTCATGGAAAACACCGAGTACAATCTTATATATAAAATTCTCGTGTCACAGTTTTCGTTCCCATACTCCTCCGAAACGGCTTGACCGATTCTCATGAAATTTTGTAAGCGCATTGAGTAGGTCTGATCGGCCAACATCTATTTTTCATCCCCCTAAATGTTAGGAGTAGTCCACCCCTAAATTTTTTTTATTTTATTTTAAGGCAAAACAACGCTTGCCGGAACAGCTAGTAATTTATAAAAAAAAATGACTATTGAGATTTAACTCCAGAGTAAATCTACAGATTAACAATGTATGAATGTGTCAGTACAGTTCAGATTGAAGCGGTTGTTAGTGTGTTCAGGTTATATTATTCTAAAGCCTTTGTTGCTTAAGAGGTTAAGATCCGTTCAGCAGCAATGAAAAGATAGAATTATAAATTTTACATTTATAAATTAGAACATTTATATGGATTTTTACATACATAAGAAAATAAACATTCAAATTAAGAACCCTCCCCATTTTAAAGTCGGTTGTAAAACATCAAACGCACATGTAACTGAACAATATTCTTATGGTAACAAACAATTCTGTATTTCAGAACGAAAACTTTGTGAGGAAACTGCTGAGTAGTAAAAACGGTATAAACCGGGGCGAGAGCAGGCAGGAATGGCCGAGAATGGCTCAGAATAGCCCAGAATGGCTTACGTGGCGAACTGCATAGCAATTAAGAGACCCGTGGGTGGATTGTAAACGTCAATTTCATTTCAATTAGGGACCCTTTACAGCCAGAGTCGTTAGCGACTGCGTTATGCGAGAATAAAATTTCTGTACGGTAGCGTTATTTCATTTTAGAAACATGTTAAGTAACAGATCTTTTTAACGATGCATGCAACTAAATATTCCTTTTTTAGAGTCGGCTGATAAATCGTATTAAGGCAATGAATTTGTAGCAATGCTGGCCTTTTATTGTGTTAGGAGTTTCGCAGAGGTGAAAAGTGACTAGATTAATTTGAAATATAATTTAATATTATTTAATGACTGTCTGACAGCTACAATAGCCTGCTTCATATAGAACTATAATAGAATATAAATAAATAAATACTTTATACGATATTTTCTCTCACGCGCGATATGTAGGGCGGGCG